CCATACCATACGAGCTGAGCTTGAAACGTCGGGACGGTATGAAATTACAAACCTTGCTTTAGAGAACAATGTTAAGAGGATTGGATGAACCGGAAAGATCATCCACATTACAGAAAGTTGATAGACCAGATGTTCTTCCATAGTGAGTGAGCTGATGTGCTCTGCAATTACTGGATCTAGGAATATAAGTGAAATAGGAGATCTGAAGAGATTGCATCAATGATGTAATATCCAAGATTATTCCTGTAGGAACCATGGGATCTCCTGAGAACCATCCACATAGTGAATTAGTGCCTAGGTATCTGTTTGAACCCAGATGTTCTTCCAGTGGAGAGTTGCTGCATGGTTTAAAGCTTCCAGGACCGCCAACGCTTCTGCCATGACTGCATTATGAGCTTTGCAGTTTGCACAAACTGCAGCCAACAGCAGTGGTTGCAGATTCTGGAGAAGATGAAACCGGTCAGTACGGAAGAATCAGAGGACAAAAAGGAGCCATCATGTTGTAAAATGAAATTAAAATTTCCTGCCCCTATATTATGTTTCTGAGTCAATATATGTCCAGTAGTCTCCTCAGGATCAGGTCCAACCTGAAAGTTTTCGTTCATAAGGGCTAATGCCCTATTAACCAGGGAATGAGGATTGGCACAGTGGTTGCGAAATCTGACATTGTTTCTATTAAGCCAAAGGGTCCAAAAACCATAGGAAATCAGGGAGAGCACTTGGATCGTCTCAGCTTTGGTAAATCCTTCCCTTTTTTTAAGTCAAGTACTCGAAGACGAAGAATTAAAAAATTTGAAGCAAATGCCAGTTTTGAATTGTGTCAAATTCCAAAAGGAAATAGCAACTGGACATTCAAGAAGTATATGCAAAGCAGAATCTGTGTGCACATTGCAGACATAACAGGGATCAGGATGATGATGCAGAATATGTGCAAAAAGGTCAGAGGTAGGCAAAAAATTCCAAGACAATTTCCGTAGGAATAGCTTGACCCTTGGAGCTCTAGAAAGTTGCCATAACACCTTCCAGCCTTTCCAGTTCTCATCCTTAGTATCTGTTTTTATTTATTGATAGGCGCCACTAGTTGTCAGAGAGCCTAAAAGACTAGGCTACCAAATCCATTTGTCATCATCGGGGTTTCTAGATCTATAAATCCTAAGAATCCTATCAATAAGGCTGGATGAAAAATTTGAGTAGAAGAAGAAACATTCCATCCATTTGTAGAAAAAAGATCTGAAACTGAATAAAAATGTTGGAACTCTCCCACATTAACAAGCGTAGGCCAATGACTGATGGGTATATTATCAATCCATGAGACAAGATATTTGTATTAAGACCATTGCCTGTGACTTTTCTAAATCCACCCCTGATGTTCAAGATTAATTGATTAATGTTACATCTCGATCGAGAAGGATTAGGAATGATAAGTTCGGTCCAAGGGTGTAAGTCCCCATATTTTTGCTCTAAGAATTCGAATCCAAAGAGTATTAGATTTGTTTAAGGTAGGAAGAATACGCTTGGCATTGATTAATTTCTTAACTGTAAGAAGATCATGGATTCCAAGATCATCGCAGTCTTTGGGCTTAGAAACAGTGTCGCAGTTAATAAATTTCATTCAGGGGGAAGAACAATTAGAATTTCAAAAGAAGTTTCTAGAGATTTGGGGCATATGATTAAGTATGACATCCGAAATGTTGCTATCAAATAGAAGATGAGTTGTGTTAGGATTGAGTTGATTACAAAATTAATAAGCACCATTTTGCCTGCTTGAGAAATTAGACCCTTACACTAACCTTGGACTCTTAATAGGGCTTTATCAACCATGGTATTTTGGTAATTTTGTGGAAGCTGACCCAAAACAAGATAGGAACCTTAGGTATTTTATAGGCCAAGAACCTTCCCGAATACCTAGTGAATAATTGAATGTTTGAAGGAACGTGAGACATGTTTAGAGAAATAGATGTTGGATTTAGATAAATTAACTTTAAGGTTGGTTAGCTTCTAGAAAGTTTGAAGGACTTTAAGGATATTTGAGCAAGATTTTGAATTTGCTCGATAGGAGATTAAAAGGTCATATGCAAACATTAAGTGAGATATATAAATTCCCTAAGGTCAAAGGGTGAGATGAGTTGTTGATCACCATAACAAGAAATTTGGGAAGAAAGGATTTGTTGAGAAATTATGAACATGTAGGGTGATAGGGGATCCCCTTGTCGTATGCCACTATAAGATTTAAATTGATTAGAAGAAGTGCCATTGATTAAACATGAAAAAGTGGGGGGAGACATGCAAGTTTGAATTATTTTAATATAATCTAAAAGAAAATTCATATGGTGAAGGGGATCCCCTTCGGCTTATGAAGAATGGCTCTGGATCTTGGAGAGATGGTTCTCTAAGGCTTGATTTGGTTGACCATCTGCAAACCCTTTGGCCTTGCGAAATAGATTCGCCTAGGAAGTAGGCTCAGCAGGGGAAGGGGATGCAAGAGCACCCGAGCGAGGTGGGTGTGTAAGGGAGGAGGATCCGATGGAACGGGAGGAGGGGGACGTGGCACCTCCAAGGAGGGATGGGGGAGAGACTGTGATCGCTAGAGTTTCTCTCTCTAAAAACCCTAGAGAGAGTCTTCCGAGGTTTTAGGTATTATAGGTTGTAACACACTGGAATATTCATTGTGTAAGCTTACTGTCTTTTTCAAGGGTTCATGTATTCACATGTACATGTCCTCATGTCTGGACAGGATCTTTATCCAAGCTAATAGGTTTTAAAGAATCAATACTTGTTGGTTAAAGTTGAAAAAAAAAAGCCGTATCTATGCTTAACTCATGCTTACTATTAATTGGTAGAGATCTTGATATGCATTCTGCAGTAATTTCCTACAGGTAATATTCGTTGGTTAAAGTTGGAAAACGCCACAACTACACAATTTGTGTTTCTCATTAATTGGTCGATAACTTGATAATGCATTCTGTAGTAGTATCCTACAGGCACATTTATGTTCAATATAGATAAGTAATCATTTGATTTGCACATTACAGGAATTGTTGGGCAGACCTGTTCGTTTGAGAATAAGTCAAAGGACTGAGGATAAATCTGAAAGTGAACCTGGGGATTCAGACAGCACAAATGAACTATCAGATGAATCTTAGAGGCAGTAAAATTTCCAACTTTTTTAATTTATATCAGCAAAGGGGACAAGACATGTGTTGACATGTCATGACAGTCATGTACAGCAGCCTTGCTGTTAATACACAGAGAAAGAAGGCATGTAACTTTAATTACTGATACTTTTAACTGCCCCCGAGTATATATTCTTTTCATCTACTCCGATAGAATTTTATTGTGTATGCTTGCAGTTTCTAATAAACAGGGATGTTCTTATGGAGTATCTTTACTCTGAACTTTGAACTGCATACTTCTGGTGTTCAAGTTTTTTGTCTACAAACCACCAAGTGCTTGCCATAATGCTTTTGACCTTAGTGTTCTGTTACATGTGCTGTTGCTGCTTTGATTTTGACATTTGAGCTTCTTTACTTTAGGTATTATATATGACTGGTTTTACAGACATATAAAATTGGCTGTGTTTGAAATTTATCAGCTTTAACTAGAAATAACCTTCACTTCTGTTTCTCGGGTTATAGGCAATGAGCAACCTAATGCAAATGTGGTGACAAAGTGTATGTTGGGCATGTAATAAATGAGGACCAATAGGATGCTAATTCATTCTTAAATATCTTGCATCTTCCTCTTGTTTCGATTATCATGTCAACTTGTTTTCTGAAGTTGGTTTCAGGTGACATCCATGAATAATTCTGCTGTCTTAGAGAAAGCCCTGACAACTTTCATTTTCAATCTTTAAAGGTATGTAGCTGAACACAGACCCTTATCCTAGTTTTGGTTGGAACTGCTCCTTTTACTGCAGTTTAATTTATTGCTGATATTCTCACTATGAGAGGTGCAAAGATATAAGTTGCGGATGATATCGTGTTTCTGTTGGTTTCCAATGCAGTAAGATACAAAGCAAAGAAAGATTATAAATTTGAATAGCTACACAGTTCACTTTCTGGAAGTATGATTCAATGCCAATCAATTGTGTATTACCTGTGGAACTAATCCAAATGCATTTTCTGATTCAAGAACAGTTAGCAGAACCAAACTGAGGCAGACAGGATGGGCAGAGAGCTGTTTCCTGACAGAAGGAATGCTCAAGTACCATCTGTTCATATGGATCTCTGATAAAATGAAAAAGAGATCATAGAAATCAACTGTGGCTTCAAACAAAATGGTGTCAATCTTCTTTCTTAGTTAATATCCTCAATTTTAGTTTTCCAGGAAGTGATGATGGGATGGCATGGGTATTATAATATGGTCAATGTGGACACCAGATGCAACTTTAGATTTTCCTTCCAGCTTTCATGAACACATACTCCATGATCATGGAACCTTTAATGCCTGAAAGAATCATATTGGTAAGATTAGCATAATCTTAAATGGGTCACTGCCCAAAGGCTCATGGCATGAGGGAGGATTCATCACTAAGTTGCATGCCAAGCTCAGGAGCTCTTAGACTCAGAGAGGGGGCCCTGTAGCTCTGTGGAGTTGTGGCTTTTGAGAACTAAAGAGAGCAGGAAGATGATGGTGTCTTAGCTTTATCTGAACCCCCTTTATTCCAAGTTGCCTCTTTCCCTCAAGCCTGTCTTCAGACTTTTGCTGCTGACTCCTCCAAACTTTAGTTGCAGGACTCATCCTTCGACTCATCATGTCATATGCTCCAGTTGGTGTCACCTCCATCAGCAATGCAGATGGGAGTTGTTCTGCTTGAGGTGGATGATTTGGAGCTCACAGTAGGTGGGATTGTTGTGCGAGAACAATTAGATGGATGCATGACTGTCTCTTTCTTTCTTCCAACCAGTGAACTCTTAAGCCACCACAATAACATGATTTGAGAGAGAAAAGTAAAGATCATCACTGTGAAGGAAGACAGAGAAAGCTTAGATCCAAGTGTTTGTTGATTTGACTTTGTGGAGTAGAATGAAGTGTCAATCGGCACCACCAACCCTCAACAACGATTATTAGGCATCGATATTATTGGCATCCCACAGCACCTCTCCTCAGTCAACCATCCATCACCTCTCCCACTCAGATCTCACCACCATTGCAGAGAAAACAAAGCAAATGACAGGTGAAGGGGCCATTGCATGAAGAAAAGAGAGAAAGAGGTTGACAAAAGCAAATGAGCCGTCTCTCTTCCCTCTTCAATGCTTTGCTTTGCAATCAAGCACGTCTGATTCCTTCATCACGCCTCAAAACCCACCCTTCCAGCTGAAGTAGAGCTCTCTCTCTCTCTCTCTCTCTCTCGAGTTCCAAATATAATTCCAACCCTCTCTGTCCTGCGATCACAGTTCTTCATGGCGTTCACCGAAGACCAGCAAACTTGGGTTCCACATGTGCCGACGACGGACTGCTCCATGGGCTTGTGTAGCTTCTACTGCCCCCAGTGGTGCTATGTCATTTTCCCACCACCTCCCCCTGTCGAATTCTCCGGCGACGACTCCGGCCCCACCTTCTCCCCGCTCGTGATCTCCATCATCGGCGTCCTCGCGGGCGCTTTCCTCCTCGTCTGCTACTACACCATCGTCTCCAGATACTGCGGTACCTTTGACTCGCTGCGACGCTGGATCGATCCTCCGGGCGCGGACAACCGCGATCACGGTGACGGTAGCGTCGGCCACTCTCGCCGACGTGATGCTTGGCATACCTCCCCGAAGGACGGGCTCGACGAGGCCTTGATCGGTAAGATTGCGGTCTACAAGTATCGGAGAGGCGATGATACGGTGCAGGGCACGGATTGCTCCGTCTGCCTCAGCGAGTTCCGGGAGGATGACAGCCTCCGGTTGCTCCCCAAGTGCAGCCACGCCTTTCACCTCCGGTGCATCGACACTTGGCTGAGATCGCACTCCAATTGCCCTCTCTGCCGAGCCGATATCGTGTCGGTGCCGCCTCAGTTGCCGGCTGCTCCAGAGTCGGAGAACAGCGTTCGGGCCGAAGACACGGAACGCATCGATGAGATGGTTCTAACCATAGAGGACGAGGAGACGCAACCTGCTGGAAGCAGTGCGGACGCAGCGACTGATCCTCCACAGGTCTACTGTGATCCGGTAGCGGTGGAGGAGGCCGACACCATAGTTGAGATCGGTGATGACGATACCCAACTAACGAGGCGATCGTTCTCCATGGACGCTGCGCGTGGCAGCCGGGTCTCGATCGCCGACGTCCTGCGAACGAGCATGGAGGACGAACTGTTCGTTGTCAGCGGCAGCTCGTCGAGGCGAGCTGCAGGCGAGCACAGTAAGGTAAGGGGCTTGCATTGTGCCCTGAACCCAGTCCTGATGAAGAGGTCGATCTCCAACGGGAGGTTCCGCTTAACGAGGCACGGAAAGCGAAGGAATGGCCTTTCAGTTCAAGAATCTCCTGAATAGGATGCATTCATGCAAGACGAGCGCTCCTCTGCGGAAGCAGGGAAGGAGCAGCAGAAGAGCTTCTTCTTCGGCCAAGAGTTGGGGCAACAGCTTCCTGATTGCTCTGTGAGGCTTGTGCCTCCATTTGTTCTCCTTTTCTTTCTCGTGCTTCTTCTGCTTGACACTGACCATATAAGCTTGTGTACAGATTCATGTTTTCATGTTTGATCTTGTTCCTTATCGACTCCCTCTGCAACCAAGTAGGTACTGTGAAGAAGAAGCGAGCTGTTCCTTTGATTTCTAAGATCCGTTCCTTTCATCATGTTTGTAATGAAAGCAGTAGCTCATCTTTCCAAGAAGACCCAAAAGCTCATCAGATGAAGAAGATCCAGTTTCAAGGACAAGTTAACATGGTTGGCTGAGACTGCAAGCATCATCTGGTTGGGGGATGGATGAACCTTCTGGTTCTGCCCTCTCGTTCTCTATCAACACAAGTTCCATTAGATTGTGACCTTTTATCATGGCCTGCCCTGTCGCATTGCCGGGCTCGTGGCGTCTCTTTCCATCAGTCGGCATTGAAGTCGATGGACGTCGCCTCTGTTCATCGTCTATCTCGGTTTAGATAGGATTCGATACATATATTACATACCATCGTGTTGAGATAATAATGTCGGTGTGAAGAAGCTGAAGTGGACACATATCATGCTGCACAATTTATCCCTCATCAGAAGTTTGGGTCGACAATGATGGTGGTGGTGGTGGTGGTTGCCCACAACCGGACTGCCGGTGGCCTGTCTCATCCCAAGGAAGTTGACGTACTACCTGCCTGAAAGAAAAGATCAGATTTGTGTTTTGGGCTATGAGATGTTCTTTTGATGAAGCTGCTTCTACACGTCAAGAATCCACAAAATGTTACACAATGTCATCTCCATGGAGGCCCATTTTGGATGCCAGAGTGGGCTTATTGAGATGACACAGTCACACAATCCATGGCAGGGAAGATAAAGAAGAAAAAAGGAAAGCATCACCGGACCACCGAGCTACACCGCACAAGGAAGTAGTTGACTGCTACTGCCATTCTTGCAGAAAGACTGTTGAATGGCCTGCCCCTACTGGGCTGCAGCAGTCGCCTCAGCTTGAATCAGACAAAGCATACGGTGGATGGCAGCGGCAATGTCATCGACGGTGGCCAGATTGCACCCTTCTTCCACCTGCAATATATCACCCCACCACCATACAAACAGAGAACATGAACTCGAAAGGAACTAAGGATCATAATAACTTCCTAATAGTTTGCCAGAGACACGCAGACTTGTGGGATTTCTCAAACCAAAGAAAAATCCCTACGATTTGCGTGAACTGTGGAGAGGAGGTAGCAATGATGCATGTCTGGTGGTGTTGTTCTCTGTTGGGATTCCCCCTACACTGAGAACTATGTCACCTCCGAAGCCATCGAGAGGGGCTCCAGAGGAGCATTCCATGCAGAAGAAAGTGTCGTCTGATGACTGACTCTCAGAAAGGTGAACACTGGTAAAAGGATTAAAAGCAATCTCGCAGCTTTTTGCAGGCCAAATTTGAAGCTACAGGAGGAGAGAAACAGCAAGAGAGAGATATATTGAGGTATAAGAATCATTATTATCTCTTGGAGTCATCGTGTTCGATCACAATCCAAGAACAGTGCCCTTCGAGGATGCCCAAGAACATGTGCCTATCGACAGGATATCTGACACTTGCCGACTCCACAGGGAAGAAGAGAATTTGCTTTCCCTAATCATCCACGCGATAAACGTATCAATCGAAGACGACAAGAGCATAATAGGTAGTTACCTTAACGCTGAGGGAGTAGAGCACCATGGCGTCCAGGGTAGTGAGACTGAGGTGAAGTATGGAAAGCTTGAGGTCCTGAAGCCCACACACTATCTTGACGAGCTGGTGGGGCCTCTTCGGCGACAGGATTCGGACGTTCGCGTGCGTCTCGATCAAGGTCACCTCGATGTCGGCCAACGCCGGCAGCAGCTGGTCCTCCGGTTGAGGGTAGTCGTGAGCTGCGGCGTGGCGCCAGCCGTACTGGGGGAAGGTGAAGAACTGAGCGAAGGGAGGGGAATCGACCCCATGGCTGTGGCTGCTGCTGCTCCTGCTTCCGCCGTCTGCGGTCGCTGGAGAGCTCTCGGGCTTCCCTGCTTGTCGCTGCTGTAGCGTTCTCTTCTGTGCTTCGAGTGATTGGAGAAGCTGCTCCAGCTCCTTCACGAAATCGATAGCTCCTCCGACAATGGAGGCCTGGTCACCCTGCAAAGCCAATGCCAACTCAATCTCGAGCCATCGGAGAGCAATGGTTCAGACATCTCTAACCGAGCAAAGCAAATTGGCCACCGTAACCAATTCCAGAGGAAACAGAAGAGAAGACAAACCCTTTGGATGTAGGAATCGGGCATGAGCGAGCGCAGCACAGCGAGGTGCTCGTTCATCTGCCGGCGGCGGTTGCGCTCGACGGCAATGTGGGTCATCCTCTGGTTCTCCGCGTCCTCCTTGTTCTTGTGCGTCCTCTGCCTCCGCCGCTTCCTCCTTCCTTGCCCTGCTACTTCCGCGCTCTGCCTCCTTTCGTCCGTGCCTCCAGAGTAGCCACCCACTACATCGTCGCCGCCGGCATTGTGGAACCTCGAACTCGAGGCGCGACCAGAATGGTGTGATGTGGTGGCGGTGATGGTGTCGTAGAAGAAGAAGGGAGGAAGCCCGGCGGAAGCCAATGCTTCCAGTGTCATGGTGCTCCTTACGTTGGTGTTTGCGTGTGTTTGCTAGTGCTTTCTACGCTTCCCTTTCACCTCAGCCTTCCACTCCACAAACTTCAAGGTAAACCATGTAACGCTTCTCGCTCCCCAGCTGCAATGATCGGAAAACACTCCAAGCTACTCGGCACCAAGGCCCGGCTTTTGTTGCAGAGTCGAGTAGTGTCGTTGAAACGGAGGGAGCGGCCGAGAGGTCACACGTGAGAGGTCAGGAACAGGTAAGAGCTTTTCTCCTCGAAAAAGCGAGGAGGAAGGATCTCTTGAAATCTGTTTCCCAAATCCATAGGTACTGTCAGCCCATGTCTTCTTCACCCAACAGTGGGGAGCCTAATGGAACCACACATGACACCAGGCAAAACACCCAACAAAACTAGTTGTTTTGGCCATCTCTCTCTCTCTCTATCTCTCTCTCTAAGGACACAGCTATGTCAGCTCTTGTCTTGACCCGAGGGTGGGGTGCCCCATTGAGACCACATGACAACTGCGGTGAGACAACAAAACTAGATGGTCATTGCCTGAGCATTAGGCCCAGTGAAATCTTTTGCAGAAAGAACAGCAGAGAGAGAGAGAGAGAGAGAGAGAGAATCCAAAAATGCCATCCATATTACATCCTCTACTTTTGCATCATCATATTAGGAAGCTGTCAGTGCTTCCGCTAAAGGGGATGAGTCACAGAGGTACTCACCAAAAACCACATGCGGTCCAAATCAGAGTCCACAAGGGTTATAGCTTTAGACTGTGATGCCACTGTTGACGAGCTGTGCGAGGTTTATATCCATGATCGATACATACAAGTCTATAAACGCTGCATCAAACCAAGTTAACACTGTGGTTCAACTATAGCTGGCAACTGTTGCATGACCATTCTGCTGCTGAAAAGAACTCCTACAGAAGGATTCTCCAGAAGATCTATTTCAAGAATTCAGTCAACAACTTCACGGGAAGCTATATATAGCTCTGCTTTTTGTCACTTCATGATAGATTCCAGCAACCTTTTTCCTTTTCGCATCATTTCACTCCCTTTCTTTTTCCTTTTTTACATGAAGAATTTGGTAGAAAATTACAGAAACTTCAGACCGAGCAAAACACCGAGACTATAATTTAGCTGCTGCAGAATAAACAATGCAACAAGTCCAGCCAGCCAGCCATGGATCAAATGGTTGCTGTACATGTAACAATTGGTCTTGCAGCTTTTACTCCTACACGACGAAGAAGGTGAGACAAGTCCACATCACCGTTCGTATGTAATCTGTTGTTGTTGCAGCTTTGCCTCAGCTACAACGTAATATGAGCTGCATGTATCATGAAACAGAGTTTTCCGAGCTTAAGCAGATGGAGCACCTCCACGTCGGGAGGGGAAGAATTTAAGATAGCAAGGAGAAGACGAGGGGCGGAAGAAGGTAGGTGGGGATGGACATGTTCGTCAAGGCGAGCACACTCACCAGCGGCGAGAGAAGAGGGAAGGAAGGACGACCATACAAACGACATGAAATACTCTGTTTTCCATATGAAGTGGTGCTGTGACGGGTTGTAGGGTGCCGTATCACAGCCATCATCTGATGGATAGAGGGGAAGGAAGGAAGGTGAGCCAGCTTTGGACCATGGTCCAACTTGTGTCAGGGAATCCATGTGAACACCATCTCGGATACCACGTCAATCATCCTCTCTCTCTCTCTCTCTCTCTCTCTCTCTCTCTC